ACGCATGCACGCACACACACGCGCGCTCTTCTCACGCCGGTAGGCTCTGATCGGCCCCGTTCTATGTGGCGCCGCGCTGCAGGCTGGCGAGCAGCTCTGCATCCTCTCCCTTCAGGCTTCTCAGGAACCGGCGGCACTGGGCGGCGGCTGGATCCACCTGGAGCATGCGCGGCAAGCGAGGAAGAACGGCCCCCGGACGAGCAGGCGACGTGACATTGTTGGCGCACAGACATCTGTGGCAGCGCGAGGCGGTAGGTAGTCCCTGGCTCTGCTTTTGCAGGGCGGTGTGTGTCGCACCGCCCCAGGGCCGGAGGGCGCAGCCCAGCAGCGCTGCGCCAGCTCACCTGTGCGTGTTCGCCCACGCAGCGCCAGCCAACAATGTGGGGCGCGCCGCGGAACGCGACAGGCAGGACCTGCTCGCCCTCGCGCAGAAAGCCCACGCTCAGGGTCAGAGACGACTCGAATCCCGAGGCGACGGCCTGCTGCTGCTGCTGCTGCTGCTGCTGCTGCTGCTGCTGCTGCTGCTGCTGCTGCCGCTTGGCCCTTGCTGCCATCTGCCTGAAGGCCTGCAGGCGCAGCTCCCGCACCTGCTCCCCGCAGCGGCCACCCCCCCAGCGGTACAGCCACAGCTGCATCACGGTGCTGCGGCAAGACGCCATTGTTGATAGCGCTGCCGAGCAGTCCGACTGCATGAGGTGCCGAGCGACGGTCTTGGAGCGGCTGATCAGCGGGCTCTGCACAGGCGTCTGCATGCGTGGGACGCATGGGGAGGGAGATGCGTGGCGGCGGTGAGCAGGATTGAGTCGAGCCAGTTGAGACAGTGGCGGGCGCCTGGTGATGAGAAGAGGTGGACGGCTCCTGCTCCCTGACAGATGCGCGGTGCAGCAAAGGAAACGCCAAAACGCCGGTGCGGTGTAGCGGCTGCGGTTGTGCGAGCAGGTTGGCGCCGGCTGCAGCAGCGCCCCACGCACGGCGGGCAGCCGCGACTGCCCGAGGCGAGCGCGTGCCCGCCCGCACGCGCGCCGACGCACCTGCACGCTCGTCATCATTGTGGCCGCGCCCGCCAAGTCCCCAGCAGCGACGCGGCCCCAGATGCGGTGCAAATCGAGGCCTTCCCTGACCTCAAACGGCAGCGTGTCCGGCAGCTCGCCGTCGCCAAAGCAGGCGCGCAGCAGCCGCAGCGCCTGCCGCAGCAGGCCGGCGGGCGGCGGGTCGGGCGCGGCGAGCTCAAGGTCGAGCAGCAGGCAGACGCAGCGCGCCACGACGTCGCCCTGCAGGCCGCACAGGATGCAGTCCTGCAGCGCGCCGCGCGCCAGCTCCCGCCGGAACCTGCGCGGCGGGCGGGGTTGCAGCGCGGGCGGGCACACGGGGCGGCAGGGGCGCGGCCGCCAGACGCTCGGTGACGCTGCCGGAGCAAGGCACCAGGTGGCACCGACAGGCGGGCACGGCAGCTCCTGCCGGGCGGCGACATCCCCATGACAATCCGGACCCCTCTCCCGGCATGCCTCGGCAGCAACCGCCCCCGTAGCTCGCGCTGGCCTTGTCCCGACACGGCTCACATGTATGGCAGATCGTTCCCCATCTCCACCGCTGTCACGCAATCATCCACCGCCTCCGGCGTCCTCAGCAGCCGCATGACCCCCGGACTCATGGGCATGCCGGGGTCCAGTGCGCCGCGGACTGCGATGTGGCTGCTGCCACGGTAGGTACCCTCCAGAGGGGCCGGCGGCGGCACTGGCCGGAGGCCCTCGCCCCTCCCACCGCCGCCGCCGCCGCCGCCATCGCCACCGCCATCGCCACCGCCACTGCTACCGCCACCGCCGCTTCTCGGCTGCCCATCAGGGCCGCCGCCCTTTGGCGCAGCGCCGCCGCCGCCGCCGCCGCCGCCGCCGTCCTCATCACCACCCACGTCGCCGCTGATGCCGCGCCCGGGGCCGCCCCCGCCCTCATCGTCGCCCGCGCCGCCGCCAGCGTGCGGGCGGCGCCGGCGTCAGCGGCGCCTGACGCGCGCGCCGCCTTGGCGTCGGGGCATCCCGGCACGGGTAATTCCCCCATGCGCTTGGCCGGCGCGACCGTGGCCTGCGCAGTCTCCTGGGGGCGACGCACCTTGCCCTCCTCTTTGCTATCGCCGCCGCCGCCGCCGCCGCCGCCGCTGCCGCCGCCGCCTCCGCTGCCGCCGCCCTGCTGCGGCGGCTGCGGCGCCGGGCCCGCGCTCCCCGCCGCCTCGCGCCAGCTCAGCATCTCGTCGCACGCGTGGTGCACAGTCATCAGACGCGTGGGCGCCGCTGATCGGGCCGGGGCCTGCTGCCTGCAGGCACACGGCGTGGGGTGTGTTCAGGGGTGCGGCGTTGCGTGGGCGGGCCGCGGAAGAGCCATGGAAGGCTTGTACAGTCAGCCTTGCACGGCATGGCATGCACGCCTACACGTTTATCCATGGCCCCACGGAGCACGGCGGCGCCCGCTCCCTTTGCCTGTCGGACACCCGCAGCCCTCGACCCCCGCTCAACCCAAGCAGACCCGCGTCCCCCTCCAGCTGCCCATTGGTCCGCTCCGGTGACGGTACTCACTCGAACAGGCAGGTGAGCTGGGCGTGTTCGGCCCGCCTGACCGCCTGGTACAGCGCGAGCAGCAGGGGCCTGAGGCGCGTAGCGATGTGCCTGTCAAACCGAGGCGGTCGGGGGGTCAGGGGCGGCGAGGCGGGAAACAAAGAGGTAGGGGGCTGAGCCGCGAGCGCCTTGGCGGGCCGCGCTGGGGCGTGACGAGGCGGCGGCGCCGGGAAACCAACAGGTTTCCCCGGGGTCCAGGGGCATGGAAAGGGTGAGGGGCGCCGCCAAAGCTCGCCAGATCCTGTGTCGCGCCCCCGGCCCAGCCAGCCCAGCCGCACCGCGCGAGCACGTCCGGCGAGTCGATTTCGCCCTCCTTCTCGTAGAACCCCGCCTGGTCGTCCCAGTGGCTGAAAGAGTAGTGGGCGCCGCTGACGAAGTGGCCGCCCGTCGCGACGGCCGTCATGCGCCTGTTGCTGAGGCCCAAGAGAGCCATGGTCACGAGGTCCAGCCCCGGGCGTTTGAATTTGAACGCCTCCACGAGCCAGGGCTCCAGAGGAGGGTCCAGGTCCGCCTGCGGTTTTGGGGCGGACAGGTCGGGGCGGGCGGCGGGGACGGCGACACAAGGGGGGGTGAGGAGGGGGCGCTGAGAGGCAAGCGGGGAAGGCATCATGGCGCAGAGCAGCGCTGGCTGCCCGCGTGCAGCCTGCCGGCCGGGTACAGCACCGCATCAGCCACAACTCCCCCTGGCATCCGCAGAGTGGTACGGTCAGCCGGACCACCCCCCCCCCCCCCCCCCCCCCCCCCCCCCC